CCTACGTATTTAAGTATTACAATGTCACACCTACATTTAATACTTTCTTAGATTTAAGCGAATATTTGACATCTATACCTACGTATAAACAAAATTTAAATGTCTGTTTGTAATGTCAAAATAACAGCTTTTCACTAAATGCATATTATGAAAATAACTTCACCGTATGTATATATAATACCGTATATAAATACGGTAGTACTCATAAGAAAAACACAATTTTAAAATTTTTGTCTGTCTGTTCTAGCCAACTTCCGAAACGGCTGGACTGATATTGACGAAACTTTCACTGGCAGATAGCTGATGTTATAGGGAGTAGGAAAATTAGGGTTCCGCTCCAATAAATTAAAAGTGTACCTAGAGCGAAGCGAGGCTAAGTCGCTAGTTTTAAATAAAACTATATTTTCGGAGACTCTCGTCTCTCGGGCCAGTCTCTCTATGATTGCTTTAAGCTTTAAGCTTTTGAAACGTCGGGAACCAAAAATCAAAATTATTCCGCGAAAAAATCAGAACGCCTTTAAAGTTTTTTTATTTATTTCAACGAGTTAAAGCAATCAGGTCATTATCTCATGTAGTTATATGAACCCCTCGACCCCATGTCATTGGATCCATTACGTTCGAGATTCTGGGATTGCCATTGACCTTAGCTTACCATTAACTTTTTACCTCTTTACGCACCTACCTCTTTAAGACTTACTGCCTGTTGATAGAACTTAACTGCTGAATCCATCTTGAATCCAATGAATTTCTTTTGTATTTTATTTTATAACTAGCATTGCCCACGGTTCCGCCCGCGTTCAGATGACCAAAAACCAAATTTTTAGGTTTTACAAATTAGTATACTCTTACATTGCAGTTTTTGCATTTTTTCTTAGAAATGAGATATTTTCCCGCGGTAAAAAGTATCCTATATGTTGACCCGGATAACCAGTTATCATCATACCAAATTTCATCAAAATCCCTCCTGTGGTTTTTCTGTGATGCGATAACAGACAGACAGACAGACGAAAATTCTAATATCCATAGATTCGGCCTCTGTATCGATAATAATGTCTATTTCAATAAGATTTTCCAAAAAATATTTAATGTATAGATTCGACTCAGTTAGAATTTTATTATACGAGTATGCATAGATTTTATAGCATTGTTTTGACATTGTATTTTTAAATTCTAATTGCTTATTATCTAGAAAATATTAAGCACTCTGTTTCTAGGTAATTTATGAATATTGTTGATATCAGAAATAAATTCTGTGGTTTTCGCTAACCAATATACATAAACCACTATTCTAATAAACAAGAACCAATTAAGTTAACAACGCGATAGGTACGGTTTTACTACGTCGAGGTAGGACTTTACGTAAATAACCTATAGATTAAAATTTTAGGGATGTGAAACACAAAAATAGTTTACAATTTGTACTTCAATTTGCTTCAATTATAAGGTTTTTTATCAATATTAATAAAGGATATTTGTGAAATTATTCTAATTAAGTATTTTATAATCAAAATTTCTTTTTATCTTCAAACGTTTATTGAAATGATGTACGTATGAGGAAGAACATAAAGTGCGGGGCATCTTATAGCGTCGATCGTAACTTCCATTTTATATAAGACTTATATATTTTTACTGTGGGTACGCTTATTTTATTGTCCCAGCTTGAGTTTTCCCAAGTATTTTCTTTAATAGGGCTACTATTTTATATATTTTATTTATGCTTCAAAGAATTCATATTCAATATTCATGTAGTACTCTCTTCTTAGTGTAACTAGTTTACAGTGATACTTATGTACATCGAAGATTATGTAAGATGAAACCTTTTACGTGTTAGTTACTATTTCCTGAACTGTCATGGCTGTATGAAATATCATGTCTTCCTGGTTTTTGCTTTACATAATTAAATTGAGATATTACATCTTAATATATTTAAGGTATAATTATAAATCTTACCTCAGGGAATCTTGTTAATTTGCTATTAAATTGATTTTTTACGGTCCGCCAGGTGCTAGGTCAAGGGCGGCATCACCAGCTGCAGAACTGGGTAAACACGTAGTTTCTTGCTATAATAACTTTAATTTTATCATTTGAAAAGAAAAAACAATAAGTTTAAACCTTGAGATAAATTTTATTAAACTCTTTGCAAAGAAACTATAAAAGTCTTCGAACAACTGCCGAGGGAGAAAAGTTTAGTCCACGCTTGGTTATGTTTGTAATATAAAGCTGATTCTGATTTCATATAGGGTTTTCATACCTCACCCCTGTTTGCCCACGAGCTCGCCACAGCTGTCTGGGACGATGACATCGTAATCTGAACGACGGCTGTGTATATTTTTATTATGATGACTTTTACTGTAATTGCTAATCAAATTTTAATTTTATTTTACTTTGATCTTAAATAAGCTCTTAAATATAAAGTTAATTTATTTTAACATTCAAAAGGAAATTGTAGGCCTTATGAAAATGACACGTTGTCCACGACTAGAATGTTAAAATTCTTGTTTCACCTAAAAAAAATAATTTAAAAAATGTAAAATTCACATATCTTGAGAGATAACTACTTTTTGAATTTGTAAAATTAAAGTTACCAAGAGGTTAAATTTGTTTATTTATTTACAAATTTTCTTAAATGCAGAATAAATTAAAAGATCTAAAGAATATCAGTAATTACTCGAAATTATTTATGTTATTACAATTTTTCAATACTATTCCCTCGACTCAATCTGCAATTCATTTTAGTAAAAGCATTTTTACCTGAATGTTTGAAATGCGGATTAAAGAAGGTATATATTTGCACACAATATTTTTCAATACCCTTTAGTCAATATATAAAATACGTTTTTACCAACATTTAAAATTCATAAAGTAAAATTGTATTTTAAAGAACTAGAAGGGCTTCTATATTACCATTTGTGTTTACTTAGGTTTCATGGAAAGTTCCCGTAACTTTTCGACAGCTGTCGGGCATACGGGTGAAGTGATGATTATGTTTTATAAGCCTAAAATTCAAGTTGTTAACTTTTATATGATGAATATTTGATATGTTGACTCTCTCTTCAGTAATATTTTTTTATATAATATTGTATTTAGCCCTTTTTAATGTCCCATTGCTGGGCACGGGCCTCCCTTATATGTGAGGGGGATCAGGCCATAGGCCACCACGCTGGCCAAGTGCGGGTTGGCGGACTTCACATGTCTTGCGAAAACTTGCAAGGTTCTTTGAGACATGCAGGTTTTCTCACAATGTTTTCCTTCACCTTAAGACAAGACACCTTTTATAACACATAAAAATATCAGAGGCGGAGACTAGGATTTGAAACCGCTTCACTAGATTACCCGAGCGCGTTACCACTGAGCTACCACTGATATTATCCGATGGAAACATGTAACTGCATTAAAAGGACATTGCAACAAATTATTAAATATGCTTTCGCAATTTCTCCTTTGGTAAGGATTTTTGCCCATTAAAACATAAAGAGCATTGAATATAGTGTTCCGTCCACTCAGATTGATATATTCCGACGTCTGATAATTTTTAATCATAGTCCTAAAGATCTCTTATAAATGAACCTGAAAAGTTAATATACCAAACACAAAGGCTTTTAGTTCAACGTCGCGTACACTACATGAACTTTTCACCTACCTGTGTGTGTATTACATTTGCCTTTGTAACAAGAGGGATCAAAGCAAGCCGAACAATGTATTAGGTCTTGCTTTGTCAAATTTTATTCTCACTAGCTAACTTTTAAATGCTATTGTTACACAGAAATGTTGTTTAGATACTTTTATAAAATACTAGCAGAACCCGTGGCTTAGCACGCGCTAAAACTATAAAAAAAATATCTTAAGTGGTTGGTTTCATATAAACTTTCACCCCTATTTTACCTTATGGGAAGAATTTCGAAAAATGCTAAAACAAGTCTTTATTTTGTTGTATTGAAGAACATACAATACCAAGTTTAAAGTAATTCTGATCTTCAATATTTTTTGGGTTGTATTATAACGTGTTTTCCCGTGAAAATGCGATGATAATCTACCGCGGTAAAAAATAGGCTGTGTCTCCAGCCCTCCAACTATCTTCACACAAAAAATCACGCCAATACGTCGCTCTATTTTGACGTTAAAGAAGGACAAACAAACAAACTTTCACATTTATAATACTAGCGGATTAGTATGAATTTAGCGATATTTTGCCAAGTTTTATATTAAAATGAAATTTAGTTTAATCTATTGTATGCGCAAGTAAAATATACATTTTGCTACTCATTCCCATATTATTGATTGAGAGTATGAGTAAGAAGAAGTTAAAATATAATGTTAATACTTAGTAGGTGCGCAAGAAAATAGTTTCCCTCGGTCAATGCAGTAATTCTTTTTTGTTGTTTTGTAAAATATTAGCTCGACTGGAGTAAAACTTATTGTAGAGCACGTATGAATGTTGTTGCTTTAAGATTTTGTAAAAAATACATTTTTATTGTTCTGCTATTATAACCAACCTCACCTAACGGATTTATATGAACACGACCACATTGTCGAAACAATGATTTAGCTATATAATATATATTATGCCTATTACACATTGAACGAACTTTCTTTGCGTTATTTTGTCGCATGATTTATATAAATGACAAATAATTTGTAAACTGATTGTTTCCAGTGAGATTTTTATTACTCTAACCACTCTAAATATTCTTACTCAGTAATTCTTAGTAAAGTTTATTAAGCAAATAAACTAGACTAGAGCGAGAAGCTTAAAACGATAAAATGTTCTGAAGAACATTTTCCCAAAGCTCACACAAAATTTAATTAAATTTGTACGTTTAATACTTCGTTTAACTAGACGTGCATTTTTCTATTTTGCTGTGTTGCAATTTATATTAACATAAATATTGAAATTCATATATACTGTAAAGTATATACCTACTTATATTTATTTCTAGTAATAGCATATTATTTAATTTATCTCTTTAGCAACTAACATTTGCAAGTGTAATTTGACTTGGATGCAAATACAAAGATTATTAGGATCAGGTTTCTCACTAATGGAGCGTCGTAAGATAAAGATAAAAGGTGTTTTATTTCGCTACATTACGCGTAGCGGGACGGTATGATGATATTTTAATTCTATATTTATACTTTACCTTGTTCTAAGAACCAACTTCAACTGATAGATACGTACATATTTACATAAGTCAGTAAATTAGCTAACATTTTAAAATTATAAACAGTGTTTGAGCGTTACAACTTCTTATTAAATATAAATGAATATATTATAGGTATATTCAGTATATCTGTACAGATAAATAAAATTGAAGTATCTTTTTGTAATATTAAAATAACAGCTTTTTAACTAAATGCATATATTAAATTATATACGGTACTTTTATAAGGAAAACACAATTATTAAAATTTTTGTCTGTCTCTCTGTCTGTTGGTTCCGGCTAATCTCCGAGTCGGCTGGACTGATTTTCACGGAACTTTCACTGGCAGATAGCGGATGTTTTAAGAAGTAACTTAGTACTTTTATTTTATAAATGAAGTCTGGTTTCGTTTTAAAAAAATTAAAACGTACCTAAACGGACGCGCCCGAGCAAAGCGAGTGTAAGTCGCTAGTTACCATATAACATATTAATACGTAGTTATCTACGTATGTGTTCATCGCCTTTTTGGTATTTTTTTGATTACTAATATTTGCACCTTTTCTACCTTTTGTCTTATATTCTATAAATCTTTCTATACATTATATATCTTACTACCGTGTTTTAGACATACCGCGATTAGTTTTAGTCGAATATGTTATAAAGAATGAGAAAGGTTTAAATATTCAAAATAATCAATAACTATATCACGTTCAATTAAATAAATATAGAAATTAATCAAACTTATTTCAAACAAAATAAAAATGCAATGTTTGCTTAGCGCTGAATAACCAATATATTCAGGTATATTATTCCTTGTGTGCTGCGGTTTGAAACCGCCCACACCACAGCCTTCAATGTTTCCACGTGATTGAAGATCATATTGCCTATACCGGTGTTAAAGGAAATTACTGTCAAACGCTAACCGCATAACTGTGTCATTATCGATATTTAATTATAGTTATTAGGTATTGATAAGGTTTTTTTATTATTTTATGGTTTAGCTATGGTAAAAATTATAATTTACATCATCTGTAAATGTGAATAAACGTAATGTAAGTAAAATGAAATTAATACTGTTACTGTTTTATCTACTTTAGTAAACCTATACTTTATTAGTAATAATATTTACATTTAAGTTATATTATTATATGGAACGAAAATGATTCACTTCCATTTGTAAACATCTGCTACTATTTGATATACATCATTTCCTTCACCTTTATTATAACGTTACACAATGTAAGTAGTATCACGCGTCAGCCTGTGATCTTCAGGGCTGTCAGATAACAGTCATTGAATTACCCGACTAATAAACCTCCAAATATCCGGTTTATCCCGCCAGCGCCAACCACGAGCAGAATACCCGAAAATAATTTTTTTTAAGTAATTTATTCATGTTTTATGTAGAATAAAAGAAAGAACTAATATTATAAAAAGAAGTTATTGTAATCAGTTTTCAATCAAACAGCTTTAAATTATGAAATCGAACATAAAAATAACTTAAAATATCAAATTAATCAGCAAAACTAAAATACCTGCTTTGATCCCGAACAATGCAAATTACCCGCCATCAAAAATCGCCTAAAATTACCCGCTTTTCAGGTAATTTACCCGCCAATTGGCAGCGCTGGTGATCTTAGTCAGTAGTAGCATGAATCGTATGATAAATGCTGTATAACTGTCAGTAAACTCGTTTAGAACAATGTCCACGATAAAAAAATCTCAATTATATTTTTTTAATATTTATAATTAATATGTATTTTTCTTTTGTTTCAGTAACTGTCACAAAGACGAGAAATCGTCGGTCCATCGAAGCACCTCACGCTAGAAACGAAACATTACAACAGTCTTCCAAAATATCACCTAAAAATAACATAAATTTCGGTTTTAAATCCAGTCCTATTAGATCCTTATCGACAAAATCTCCAGAAAAACGGCGTAGCTCTGAAGGTGCTAGGCCCAGCTGCATACCATTGTCAAAAAGAAACCCCGAAAAGTCCACGCGCAACTCGACTTCACCTACTAAGCAGGAAACCGTGAAAGAAACGACATCGAAAGTAGATAATACGAAATCTAAATTAGAACCACCCAGAGGGAGGTCTTTACGTAGAAGTCCTGAAAAAGTAAAGAGCGATTTAGGAAATTCACGTAAAGATAAAGTTCAACGAGCTCAAAAAGTTAGTGAGAGTCTTAAAGAAAATTATCATAATTCTAAAAAAAGACTGACTAGTTTAGATAATTCTTCGAAGAGTGAAAATGCGACTACAAGTTTACCTAGTAAAATTATATTGAATGTTAGCGTAAATACTAATTCCACTGTGGACGCTCATGTTGGTAACTTAAGCAATTTAAAGAATTCTTCAAAAATGTCTACGCTTCATGAAACTCGACCACACGCTACTGCGACCACAAGTTCTCGACTCTCGCAGGAAATGGACAGTTTAGCTGCTTTGACAAAACAAACTTTAGATAGGGTTAATAAATTATCAAATAACTTAAATAGCAATAAATCTCATGTAACCGTACCAGATCCTCCACGTTATGATTCTCTTTTTACACCTACATCTGAACAAAAAAATAATAGTCATACATATAATTATGGTCTTACAAATGATGGTCCTATTGTAAACAGAGGTGTAACTGAAAGATTAAAAGATATAGACACGGCAGCACAGAGATTGATCGATTTTGAAAAACAATCTGCAATATTCTCTGATCTCAATAATGATTCATCTAGTCAAAATCGTCGTGCCGAGGCCTCGTCGACGTGTCATCACACGCCCGTGTCTATCTTAAAAAGAAAATCCATTCATGAAGAGAACAATATAACAAATCCTCCTAATCATTCCATTACATCACCTCCCGTAACGTTTTCACCGAGTGTGATTGAGTCACGTAACAGTCGTACTGATAATAGGAAGCGTCAAGGTATCCTAAAGAAAAGACGTAGTTTGGATGAATCACAGGTTGCACGGAGAAGATCGTGCAGTCCAGAAGTATCTTTTGCAGATGATGATTCGCCCGATACTTGTAAGCCCATATTAAAGAATAGACGTTCATCTTTAGAAGATGTCGTGAGAAATCGATCTCCAGATGGACAAATCCAAGGTATTTTAAAAAGAAAAATGAGCCGTGAAGAAGATCATTTAAATGATGATGTCTCTCATGGTTCACCAGAGCCTCAAGGCATATTAAAACGGAAATCTAATTCAAGCTCGAGTAGCAGTACTACTTCTTCACACGTATCTATAGCCCAAGCTGTGCTGCTGGCAGCCGCAGGGGGTGCTGAGATCGTAGAAGAAGACAAAGAAACCGTTCGGCCGATACTTAAGAAAAAGAGTTTTTCTGAAGAAAGACCTTCTCCTGATATTTTACACCCAGAAACACCGAAACCTATTCTCAAGAAAAAAACTAGTGAATTCGACGATCATGATTTTGACTTACCTAAAAAACCCATCCTCAAATCTTCAAGAAAATTATGTGGCGATGAGGGGCACACCTCTAGTTTCGATTTGAGTGAAGATGATAGAAGTTCACGGAGATCTTCATTGCTTAGATCAAGGGCATCAGATTATTCGGGTTCAGAATGCGAGGCGCCAGTTAAACCAATTTTAAAGCAGAGAGGCTCGAGTCTCACTAGGGAACGCAGCCAATCGCCACGCCCACGGCTTTCATTTTGTGCAGACAACGACGTGAATATTAGTGCGACGAATTTTAGTAGCGACGCGAACGACTTGTTGGCGGCCGGACCGCGGCGAGTCTTGAATCTCGCGTCCGAACCGGAAGAAAATTTTCCAAGTGCTGTAATTCGACGGAGAAATCTACGACCTAAAGCGAATCCTCGGTCAATGAGCTTAGTGTGTGACGTAAACGATGAATTACTCTCGATTTTAAATAATCGCAGATTGAAAGTAGATGAAAATTGTGAAAACGGCCACAGTGATTGGGCTAGGGACAAATGTGAAATTGACAACAATCCCAAAACCTTTCCTTCAATTGCGTCTCGAATAAAGAACATGGAGGAGGCACTGACAAAAGACAATTTTCTAAAAGATCAACCCTCAACGTCTAAAGTGAGGAATCGAGATAAAGAGCGTTACAAAACCCAACCAGTAACCATAGACGAAATGAGATCAATTAATTACAGGTAACCCACTATTGCTTTATTTAAACTCAAAAGATATTTACATAGGTACATGCGCAACAATACTTCTATTAACAATTTATGATTCATACAATTTTGTAGCCTGAACAATTTTAAAATATTTCTTTTCATAGTATTTCGTAATGCAATCGCAGACATGGATAATGCGAAAACTTATATAGGTTATCGCTTTTTTATGGTAAGTGACCGGCTTGCAAGTGTGTACCCTTAAATATATCTTTTCTTGTATAAAGGTCATTACGCTTTGTGTCGATTGTAGTTGAAGTCGGATCCGAATTTTGGCTCATCGCCACTATTTTGATGAGCAACGCGTAGCGTGGGCATATATCAAATGTTTTGATTTGATACTGTAGGATTTCCTGCATGGTTCTTGTTTTGTCAATAAACAGAAACTGAAGCTGCAATTGTTTAGGGATCGAATAATTTCAGTAGAATACTTTTAAATCTCAAAATATAACAACATATCGTAGTAGGTGTACTACCTACTACGATATGTTGCTATATTTTTTTAGGTAAAAAACTTCATTTATTTAATGCATAGCTTTTAAAAATGCTATTTTTGTGCCGGTTAATTTAAAATTGAAAACAAACTATTAATTTAGTAAATAAGTTAAGATAATCTAGTATTTTAAAAATCTTTTTGGTTACATATTTAGAAGTGTATGTGTGTAAATAAGTGATAATGAAAAAAAATTGTTTCTCAAGAGGATAAAAGCGGTTAATCTGATAAGTGTCTTGTAATTAACGTTTCGTAATATTGGTAAACATTTGGCGCTAATTTTGTGAACAGTGGTCTGACATCATCGGTTCAGTTTACTGTTTGAATCATTTTCAGTCCAGATAACGTAAGAATCAAATGTGCACTGCAATTTAGTCGAAAGTAGTGCAGTTTTATATAGCATTATTGCAATACAATGTACCGTTTTCAGCAAGATTGGCCTCATTTCTATTTGTAAGTAGTTAAGACTTTCTCATATTTAGCTTCGTTAGATGTTAATTTATGTTAATATTTTTGTAGGATTAACCTTATTATTAAAGTAATTCAAGTCAATTTTTTAATCGAATACTAAAAAGGAGGAGGTTATACGTTCGGTTGTTATTTTTTTTATATTTAACGCATATTACACAATACGCATTCCTCTATTTGTCGTTTAAAAAACCCCGAAACAGAGCTGACAAATATATAAGTTTACAAACTTTAATATGTTGGAAACTATTTAGAACTATCGTGTATAGTAATTTGATAAATAAACATCATTAGTTGCATATAGCACTGAAACGAGCCATCCGTCTTCTTGGTCGTTTTTTTATTATGTTGTCACATTCGTTTTATAAGTCGCTTCTAATTCAGGAGCAAATAATTCGTTTATTTTCGTATGTCTGCGATTGCATTAATCGTCAGTGATTAACTTCGGTGGTAGCATTTACTGGTAGTGTGCTAGTTGAGAAGGCAAGTTGATGACGGAAATAAGCGCTCCAGTCGTTACTGGGTCAACACTATTTCTAGCTTGTTGTGCTTCACAGCACGCATTCAATGTTTTATGACCAGAGCATCTGATGCGGTCAGCTCTATATGCCCTTAATTGCTCCTTCTTAATGTAATGTTTTGGCTACGACGCTTAGTTTAGTTTTATTTTCAGATAGTATTAGCGGTGCAAGAAACACTATAAAATAAAATGTGGAAATGTAATTTTATATGTAACTAGCGGCTCACCCTCGTTTTGGTCGGGTTTGCCTCTAGAAAAACAAAAACAAATCTATCCCTCGGGAACAGTTTATTTTTCCGGGATAAAAAATAGCCTATGTGTTATTCCAGACTATAATCTATCTCTGTGCCAATTTCATCCAGATCCATTCGTCCATTCTGGCGTGAAAGAGTAACAAACATCCATACATACTCACAAACTCTATATAATATAAAATACTAACTGAATTTAGTGTTTAGTAAAAATCTTTTACACGTACATACGTTAATGTAGGAAATACTTTTGTTCATATAAAAACTATCAATTTGGAAATGGATTTGTATAATATATTACCAATGGTGTCAAACTACCTTAATTCCATAAACAAGGCTGCCAGTCCAAATCAATCATACTATAACTCATCAATCTATGAAGGTGATATGAAACTGAGACTATCTCTTTCTCACCAACGAGTATGATCTACATTATCGCATTTCTTTTCTCATTTCGCAGTTTGGAGCCGGGCCAAGCGAATTTCCAAGCGTTCGGCATCGCGGGCTGTAGTTTTCCAAATCGTCCCGTCGAGTCCGGTGCTGTTCTCTCGGCCAAGGGCCCATACTTAGGGGAACCTGAAAAGGATCCTTTCGCAGACCTCGAACCACTACCATTTAATTCCAATTTATTCCACACGAACCTTCCAATTATTAATGGTGTTTCGAAGAATGCTATTCTCAAGGACGATAGTTTCGGTGAAGCAACTTTTTTAGATTTCGAAAAGATTTGCGCTGACAGTGAAGCCAAACAAGCAACACTTGATGAAATCGAACAAGAAGTAAACAAAGTTCGCGTGGCTTTGGAAGAAGATAGCCGCGCTCTGGACGAAGAGGATTGCAATCAAGTTGAAGCCGACAACTGGAGTCTGAACGTGTCTTGTGATAGCGGGGTTTATAATCGCGCTTCTTCCCGCGACTCCGGGCCGCATTCTGGTTTGTATTACATTAGGTTGTTATTAATCACCGTTAGTATATAGCAATCGGTCAGTTTGAATAAGCATTAAATTTATTTTTAACGGGTTGGCGCGCTGGATGAGTGTACGTCGAAAACTGCTTTTGACTTATTTAGTGTGCGGGGCAATCAAAGTAACTGTTATGGCGTCATAAAAGAAACATATGGAAAGAATCGAAACAGTCTGTTCACATTAGCCGTGTTTGTTTATCTTTTGTAAAATTAGACATGTCCTGTGCATATTTGGACGTTTTCAAAATAAACTCGGCTTAGCCTTGTCGATGAGTTTTCAGTTCTCTTATTTAGGTCAATGTAATACGTATAATATTCATTGTCACCACACGATTTTCAAGGGTGGCATTAATTTATCTGTTAAGAAACACTTTCAATTTTGTATTAATTCGTTTAGCAAGTTTTTATTTTTACTTCAACGTTTAACGTAACACCGCAGTTAAACGTGCACGCAATATTGTATTTAGTGTGTACCTATGTCTATTTTCGTTCGTGCTCGAGACTAATAACGAAATTATCGATTTTCAGGCGAGGAGTTGGGTTTGATTGAGAGTCAAGAAATACATGAAAACCACGCAACGAACAGTAGCAACGACTGGTCTTCACCGTCTATTGAACAAGACCTTCTCAAGATGGAACGTGTAAGAAAGTCTACGGAGAACGAAGTTCTCCAAAGTCTCGAAGAGAACGGGAGTGATGAGGAGAACATTAATAATTCTTCCGGATTTGCTCTTGGGTTAGTGAAGAGTAATAGTGTCGTCGCAAGAGCCAGCATGTGGCAACAGCTTCAACAACAAGCTAAAGGTATTTAAATCGGACTTCTATTATAGATGAAAAGTATGTGTGTGTTATGTGTATGTTTGTTACTCCTACACTCTGAAATGGCTGGACAGATTTTGATGAAATTTGGTACATATATAGATTATGACTTAGAGTAATAGGCTACCCACACCCGAAGTTAGTGAGGGGAAGTCGCCACTATTATCAATTAAAATGTATGGATTTTGGAGCTGAGTTTTTTATAATTTGTTATTTCTATGACTACCGCCGACTTCTTTACTGATCGGTTTTGAAATGAGGTTAATATTTGCATCAATCATCCAAAGGCCTCCAACGTAATATACTATGTACACTATCTATATCGACAGTACGCAGAATGTTGTATTGGGACGTATGTCGTTATTATGATACTTTTTAAATGAAAAATCTAAAAAAGCATTAATAAATAATAAATAAATAAAAAAGTATGTTGGTTAATAGCATTTTTTTATGCTAATGAAACATGTAAATAAAAAATAACAGTATTTGACGGTATTATCTAAAAATGCGAAACAAACATTATTTAACAATATTTATTCTCAATTGCAGGCACACCGAAACCATTGATTCGTCACAGTCGCTCAAAGGTAAAGGAGGGGCCTTCAGTGACGGATCGGTTCAAAACTCAACCGATTGTGATGAGATCTCCAGATTCCACGAGTCCTTCAAATGAAATATCTCTAGCTCAGTCCAAAAGCACCGCTAATGTCCTCGATAGAGATGAAGACGGTTAGTCACTTAACTTAAACAAATGTAACATGAAAATATCATTTTCTTTACCAATCACTTTTATAGATGTACATTTAATTTTTATCATTTTTTCTTAAATTTTTTGGTTACATTATGTTACACAATATGGCATGTAAATCGCATTACCGACGACGCTTTCTGTCTTTTGATTGTCGGCTTTGTTTCTTTTTTGCATGTGGACTCTACTCTGTGTATGTCCCGGGTTCTATGCACAATGTATTATAAACGCACTCACGGTGGCAGCTAAGTTAGATGAAGATGATCCGGCGAAAATGTCTCTAGCCGAGAAAATGAAGATGTTTAATGCGAAATTGACCCATAAACCACCAGTTTCTGGTCTACCTAAGTCCAAAGATGACAGAGTGCCTCGGGCTTCAAGGTTAAGGACTATGCCAGTTCTAGCAAGCCAAGTACAAGAGGCCATGGAACAAAATGAAAGGCTAACCAAATCTCTAACTCACGAAGACGTACCAAGAAATACAGATTTTCAACTAAAAATGGAATTATTTAGATCAGCGAGCGCAAGGAATACGTCGTTAGAGTATCTCATGAAGCAGAACGCAAAATTTAGAAGCTTAGGTCTGATGTTCTTTAATTTGTGTTTCATTTTTGGTTGTTTTTTTTATTTCGATTTTTTTTTCGCTTTTTTTTCGCTTGGGTTCAGCACTAATTGTTTTATGCCAAGGTGAGTGATTTTTAGCACGGATACTAATGGTATTATAACACAGGATGGTTTTTGGATGAGTAGGAGACGTTTCTATATTGTACATTATATCTATATCTATAACTAAGTTGTAAAATATATTTATTAGACGATAAATTATATATTTTTAAGCATGATTATAAGGGATTTATATAAGTATTTAATATTTGATTGATGCATACTAACGATTGTTAGGTAAGTAGCTTACATTGAAATGGTTTCAACAAATTAGTTGTTGACAATTTCGTACAACGTTTCTGGTTTTCGGATTTCATTAACTTTTAATGAATTGAAGTTCTGTATTATGGACTGCTGTATCAAAGTATTTGCATTACACGTTATTTGTTTAGAAATTCTAAACTCGCGGGATGATATGATCAACAAAAACGTTCTAATTATATTTAGCAGTAACATGTGTCGAACATCCGCTTTACTTCATCATTGACTTTGTATATGATATGTTTTGAACTAAAATAGTTATTTATACCATCGACTTTTGATTTTGTGTTCAAAATGTTTTGAACTACTATTTTAAGAACGGGAACATGACAGCATGTGTCCGAACAATGAGATGTCTTGTTAATGCCAAAACAGGTGTTTTATTGGCATCTGGACAATTAAAATCTATACTACAATATTATAAAGAGGCAGAATTTCTTTGCTTGTTTGATTGAAGGCGCTTATCTCAGTAACTACTAATCCGATTTGAAAAATTCTTTTTGCATTAGATGGCCAGTTTATATAGGAAGCCTATAATAAGGAAGGCTATATATCATATAATATATAGTCTATCTATTCCATACTAACCGTTAAAACGTACGTAGTTGTAAATATAGCTTTGATTTTGCTTTTGTATACACAATTCGCGAAGTTAAAAAGGTGTCCCATTATGGTATGTCAATTGTAAATAATTATAATAAAGGCACTTCGGTATCTGCATTCTGTTAGGTTATTTTATGTTAAAATTACTTTTGGAAGATACATCCAATTTGTTTGCTATTTATTCACTTTGGTGGTTTTATATAGTCATTTGAAATAACATTTATTTATTATTTATATTTATAATATGTAAATATAATAAGTAGCAGAAAGAGAAGTAAAAGTAGTAGTGTGCTGTGAATTGTTTTAAAATATTTGTATGGGACACCTATGCATTCATATAACAAGGTTAAAAGAGCTTAGTGGGTGCTTTTATATGAAATTTGTAATAAATATTTATGTTACATGGTTGATTTTATTTCTAACTTTTGATCTTCTTCCATATAGCAGAATTGTATAAGCAACATAACTTTTAAAGGATATTTAAAGATATTTGCATATAAGATATAATTGATGATATAAAACACAAGAATTTGTATATATATATAAATAAAATGAATGTATCTATCTTTAAATAGCTCATTAGCTTTCTTACACCAGTTGTTAGGTGATGAAGTTTTCGATTTTTGAATGGTATAACAAAATTGCATTGTTTTTCGCTATCGGTGTTTCTAACTCTTGTATAAATATACATACAAATATTAAATTTATATTTGTTCTATAGATCTGGATGACGATTCACCAACAGAAAGGGCCCAAAGAATGATAACGCCAGAAGTGAGGGGAATTTTGAAGTCAGGATCTACTGTAGTGCCTTCTAAGCCAAATACTTTGGCCAAAGGGGAAAGCTCTGAGGTAGATAAAGAAATATTTATTAATTTTATTTATAACAAGTTTCATGGTAGGGGTTTATTTGTTACGAATAAAAATTTAAATATTTTTGATTATGCTAATTTTTATCTTATGATAATAGGGTATCCTATAAGTTAAACCTAAGCCTTAAAGGAGAAAATTGAGCATTGTAGTAAGAAATTAACTCCCATCTGTATAGTCATCAAAATTTCAACTAAAAATGTGCTTATGCAAACTAACTGCGGATGTTATGCCACTCATATGTAATTATGTGCAAAAACCTTTATTATATACTCTATGAATCAAAGATAAAGCAAAGTTTAACTGAGAATTAAACTAAAAACCTGCAAATACTATCAAAACTACTTTATAAATATTTTTTACGATATCCATATTTATATTTATCTTTTTACAAACAATCGTTGAGCATACTCTTTGCAATAAATAAGTTATATAAATAATGATAAAACTAAACTTACACACTTAATTGATTGTTATTTTTTAAATATTTATTATTTTTCCAGGGTCTAAAAGACGAAGGCATAGACAGTTCATCCGACGATGAATCATCTGCGTCCAGTGTCTCATCATCAGAGAAAAGCTGTTCCTCTTCAGATAGTTCAGACGCAATACCGGACCCTAAACCTAGAAGATTTCAAAGGAAAAACAATAAACTGAAATCATCAAGAACAGATTCAGACCTAACCAGGCTTCAGGACCCTTTCCCTAGAAAAATACAACTACCAGGAGCCAATGAGTTGAAAGAACGTCTCACTCAAGCGAAAAATCCAGACGTTAAAATTCCAGTGTTAGGTAAACTTGGTCGAAAACCATCTGAAGAAGCGAAAATCGAAGATGATAAGACAAGGTACAGGCGGTTCGTGAAGAAATTAGATGAGCCCATACAATTAGCGAAATTACGGCGGCCGGTGGAGAAAACGCCGTGTGTAGAAGAAAAACCGCCAATATTAAAGATTTCCTCGATAAATCAAGCCGCGAAAAATAAATTCTTTGGTCTGGAACCGAAGAAGGAGAAAAGTGTCGATGAACTGGCAGCGGCAGTTAGGAAATACATACCAGTTGTAAGTTGATTATTGTTTATTTATTTAGTAATAAAGTTTTACTGTAGTACACTACTAGTATAAGTAAACTTAACGATAAGATAAAGGAAATGAAACCATATGGTATTATCATCATTCTAACATTTTAATTATTCTTGTAAACTATTGAGCACATATAAATAGAAAACTGTTAAATAAATAGTAAAGTATTAGCAATATAATGTCAGGCGATAATAAAGGCATGAAAAGAATGACAATCATTGAAAATGAACTCATTATGGGTGAATTTCTTTCAGTTTTATTCAAAAAATATTTTTTTACAGTTTTCATTTAAGCTTATAAATATCTCAAAATATCTGGAAATGTGACACTTTAGGGCACCACAAAAGAAATATTATTTGTTTAAGTGCTCTCTATTACCTGTAATATCGTGTGGCTTTACGAGTACATTAAAAAAAATGGCAGCGTATTGCTAATTGCCAGTATTTCCATAGAAAAATGCTCGAAGCCGTTTTGATGTAACTCTTACTTTTTTATTACTTACATTCATAGATCAAAAAAAGTACAAGATAGGCAATCAGCGATAAAAAACGTCCTCACCGAATAAACGCTCATTTGAACATCTGAGCGCGCTTTTATTTATTTTTTTGTAAAAATAACTTTCAGCCTTGCATTTTAGTTTTAATTTACATTCTTGTCTATTTATTTCAACTAGACTAATTACCTAAACACAATTGGTGACAGTTTTATTAGGCACCCTTCGGGTACGGAACTCTCGTGACAGTCGAAGTATTCCGCTTTTTCCGTCTATCTCTCATTCGCCAAGTGTGTCAATATTCGCATTTATATTAGTTCAATTATTTGTTGTTAGGTCAGTAAGTCAGTGTCCAGTCACGCGATGGAGATAGGCGGCTCGGGCAGCGATGGCGAGTCCAGCGGTGGGCGGGAAGTGCGACACATCAACACACGGCGACAAAGGTCAGTTTGTTTGTTAGATATAAAGTTAAAACGTCGTTCTCTACGGGCGATTACATTTTAAGTGGTATTGAAGTCGGTTTAATATTTATTTCAAAATAATTATTTACATGTAGTTAATATGATCTGTCCTCTAAGAGAGTGAGAATAAGGAACTTAGCTAGTTTTTGGTTTTCTCTAACTATTAGATATGTTGTTTTAGAAAAAATAAACAAGGTAATATGTAATAATAAAAAAATACACCACTTAAATTTATCCATGTAATGCGCCCAGGCAAATATGACTTTGACCTTATTACATTTTATAGCATTTATATTCGATTTATCGTATAGATAATATTTTATAAGCACTTCTTGGCCTTTCGTATATCTCTATATCAAACGTTACGTCGATACCTAGGAAACATTATGAATAAATAGCATGCTTTAAGATTATAAAATATTTGTAGTAATAAAGATAATATAATTATAGTTTTAGCTCATTCATTTGGTTTTTGGTTCATTTGTAAAGATTTCCGGGAGTTTTGAAAATGGATATTTTTATAGATTTCGACGTGATCTTTCCGAATTTCTACTTTGTGATATTGCCTACTTATGGATACCATGATAAAAAACGCGCCACTTACTCTACCTAACATGGTGGTAAGAGAACATGCATCATCATGTCCCTTTTTTTTTTTTTTTTAACGTTGGGAAATGCATTTACGCACGACGTGTGAGACTCACCGGCGTAATACAGCATCATGTCCCTGCCCATTCCTAAATTACTTGGGGTCGGCGCTGTAAGTCTTCCTCTTCCACTCTCACCTATTACTCGTCGTCTCATCTCATCATCCACCCCTTTCTGTTTCATGTCCTGTCTCATATAATCTTTGGAAAGACAATAATATTATCTCAATGATATTCAGACAATAATATTCAGAAGCAAAAAGTCGATTTCAATACTCCGATATAGTTTATAAATTATAATATAGCTATGCGTGGTGTTAACCTAATGGATCAATCAATAAACCTATATTGAGTAACCATAGAAGATTTTTTTTATGGTGGGTTATCTTTGTCTAACCTTTTAGATATAGCTTCTCCCCAATGCTTAGCGGCTGCATGTTTTTCTAAGTTAGCACTAAGAGATAACGACATACATGGATAACCTACGGCTCAGCAGAACTTTGGCCCGCGTATATCTACGGCCAACAAAAACTAAAAGTTGACCTATGTTCTCCTCAATCATTAGAATTGAACAAAATATTCTGCATTGTTTTATTTGCCACGACCGCATTCGATGGCGTTGCAGGGTTTTCTTAAATAGCCTATATATCGAAAAATCTTGCACTTCTTCATGTGTAGAAAATCAAAATCACATATTTTATTCAGCATTAAAATCATGAGTCTACTACCAGTTCGAAAGAAGAAGAAACCTCAGACCTGAGAAGAACTGGCGATAGAAACTCAGCGGGACCAATATTAACTTATCTTTTTTTTTTTCAAAGCAAAAAGTGTCAATCTATAGCCTATATTCTATAACATAATTTGTCTGGGCAGTCACCTCGATTCGTCGCTTCGTTATACTGTGAATAAAGGACAAACATATAGACATATTTTGTCAATTATATTTAACGAATTAGAGTATAAACAATAACAGTGCTAGTTTTTTTTTGAGTCATTGTTTGAGTAACTTCTATACGTAGCTAGAAGCTATGTAAATATAAGTATTTATATTTATAAATTATAATATGTTATTATAATTATTTATATTTTTATCAACGTGTCTACCCCACGAGAGGAGCTCCGAGCAAAATGTAGTAAACTATAAGGTATTTTTACATTAATTTACTAAAAGTCTTTAGACAGAGTTTCTTATGAGATTTAAACACAATACATTCCGTTTTATTTCATTTAAGTTCAATAAACGAGATTATTTTGATATTTAAATGGTACAGTTTGTGTGTAATTATTAAGTTTCTTTTGACTGTCAAGAAATCTTTGCTCCAAATATGTTTAAACTAGTTAGTATGACATTTTTTGGGCATCAGACCGATTCTTTTTTTTTTAAGTTTGGGAAATGAACTTACACATATCACCTGTATATGTACCTGCTCGTATATACAGGCGGTTACCTGGAAAGTCTTGGGCTAGAAAGGCCAGTTCTAGCCACTAAAATCCAACTGAACCTTCTTTGTCTTAATGGGGCGTCACAGTATCTTTTATGCACCACGATTTGCTGAAGCAGACCACAACAACCATGAGGTTGCTCCCACGGTACACTATTACCAGAGAAGTAGCAGGAGCAGCCCGCATGGTACACCTCGCATCTTCCGCGTGTCTCGTGTCTTCACGTCCGGCTGGCTTACCGGACGCCAATGTACCTCCACCACGACTGGGCATCAGTCTTAATTTAACACTTCCTTTCTAATGTTGTTTCTTTTAATCTGAATAAGATATTATTTCTTAATGCTATGATAGATTATTTGTTAATATTTGCAATTATGAAAATATTTTTTTACGTATATTGATGCAACGGTTATGCAGTCACTTTAATATATTACATCATACGATAAAAAAATATTTTCAACATAACACACTTTGCAAAACTTATCCGTATTATTATTGCTCATCTTCAAGGCCGATCGAAATTCTTTAAAAAAATTGCGGTTTCCTTGATTACATATTTTATTACAATGTTAACCGAAATAGCAATATTACTGTTATTATATAAATTTGTTAAAAAATTGTTTACGTAAGTTACGGAAGTCAGCGCTTTAGCTCTAAGTTTTGGGCGAAAAAGTTTTCTTTTTTAAAATAAGACCACAAGATTTCCATCGAAGGCCTCATCATGACAAGCTTATAGTTACTAGTAGTAGTTACCTCGCTACTATACTTTTATTCTAGATACAACTAGCTGAAGATGGCTATCATTCCCGCGTGTAATTTTCCATTTACGGTCAGAAAGCGGAGAATAAATTTATCTATGAGAAAAAAAAAAACAATAATTATGGTAGAAGTTTTCTGGTATTTTTAAAAGATAAATAAACATAATTCTCTATTTAAGCAATCAACCGCGCAATGATTCGTTCAGTAGAATAGCGAAATTTTCTTTTCTATTTTGCAACGGTCCGTCTTTGTTTCTTTTGATTTCTTCGCTAATGAACCAAGTAATGGAGGAATATTATAATTTATACTTTCATAATAAAAAAATGCAGGGAAAGTGTAACAAAGCTACCGTACAAAATTTGTAGTCGGAATCTACCATCACAGAACGTATTGCAATATTAATGAATTTATTTGTTTTGCCTTTTTGAGAACAGCGTATCGTAGATAATACAGATTGATATTTTTGTGTTTTAAATTAAAAGTATAGGAATAATGTAGGTGTATATCTATACATATAATAAAAGTGTAACTAATCGCTGTCTGTAAATGAAAGATATGTATTTGAATAATTCTATTATTGGGGGGTCTTTATTAACGCAGTGAGATCTAAAACAACGATTTTTAGATTTTTTTTTCTGTTTGTCTGTGCGTTTGTGCGTGTTAATCTCAGAAATGACTTAACCGATTTAGGTGTGGTTTTCACTAATGTATTGTAGTAAGCTTCACTTAACATTAAGTATTTGTTTTATTTCAATCGGTTATAAAAAATAGTTATGCCAACTTAAAAAAATACATAGGAACAAACCCGAGCGAAGCTAGAGTGAGACGCTAGTATTAAAAATAATTCAATTCGATAGCGATTCAATTCGTATTATTCTAAACATATCGAATAATATCACGTATTTGTATAAAGTGAATATACAAGAGCTTGGTAATTTTCACCTATTAGCTGCTATGGAAAGTTCTAACGCATATAAGGGCTAGATAGACTCTGCTAGTTAACAGTGAAACTCGTTAGCTAATCACTTTTATAATTTACATGCTTGCACATACGGTGGAGAAAATTAATCATGATGAGACCGCTGGTTTAATGGTATCATTTGTGGTGGAAGTGGTTACGAATTTCATCCATTTATGTAGATGAATATTACTTGCCATAGGCATACATACATAGGTGTAAGATGTTTGTTGTATTGCATAGTTGTAATTAAATATTATGATGTGACTGCTATAGTCAATATGAAAGTTTGTATGTTTGTGTGTGTTTGTTACTCCGTAACGCTGAAAGGGTGGGTTTGGATAAAATTAAGTTCACAGATAGACTGTGACTTGAAGTAACATAATATAGTCTATATTTATATATATACATACATATATATTTCATACAACATTCATCATTATTGCTATTTTATTTTAGTTATCATTTGATCATAGTGCACGTTTTTTTAACCTTTTAAAAAAGAAGATGGAAGGTCATTACTTACGTTAAAAATTATGTAAAAAAGGTATATTTTTCCCATATTTCAAACAAGTTTTTGATACGAGAAATAATCCTATCCAATTAAATAAAACATGGTAGACTAAACTGCAGTAGGTAGGTACTTTAAAGTGAAAATCTCGTTATTTAATTAATGAAAGGTTCGTGTTGCCCATGTGGGTCAAGTACGAGACTTTACAATGGGCAATGAATTGCTATGAAGCCGATGATTTTTGCTCTTGTTACGGAATCTACTTTGCAAATAGAGTCATTCTGTGGAATAGTTTTTTTCTATTACAATATTTTAATTTCATAATGTAGCTAGATAGGTTTCGCATGTGATAGTATTACGATAAGTCAACTTTTTTCACCTAAGGTATGTAGAAATTAAAAATTTATAAATTTTAACTCGTATAATTTGCTGATGCCAGATTTTTTATCTTTCCGGGATTTCCTTGACAAAATACGTATACGTAATAGTGTTCATTAACGTTTGTATACCAAAGGTTATCTGTCATAAAAGTCATAAGCTTTCACTACGTGTCGGCATGACGAACTTGAACCTTGTATCGTCGTGCATCGTAATAACAACTTGAGTAACACTAATTTCCATACGATTTGAGACTCGTTTTAATATGTAAACGTAGAAGATTTTT